TACTTGGTACAGAGATATGAAACGCAGCACCTGGCATATAGTAAGCATGTAATAAATGGCTATTATTATTATTATTAACATTAGCTGTAAGGAATATTTAGATAAAATCCATTAAAAAACGGGAATTCATTAGATCCCCTTTATTTTTGGGAGAGGTTACAGCAAGTCACAGCTTGGTAGATCACACCTTCTGAAATCTCTATTTGTAACTAGTTAAAAAGCATTCCAATCTGGCCTAGGTTTCCAGGACACTGGAAGCCAACCATAATGAGGTGAATAATAACTCCAGGCTCATCCTGCAGGGAGAAATATGCTAAGTGTGATTTCTCACCACTCAGCTCCCATCTGAGGCTGATGAAGTTACTTGAACTATGAGTTTCTGTTGCCTAGAAAGGGGCTCTGAGGGTTTCTTACCTCTGGGTATTGGGAGGCTGGGAAAGAAGGGCAGGAAGAATCATGCTAAGTAGAACTGCAGAAGACCTCAGGGTCATTGCTTCTGCATGCTGAGGTCAGAGATCTGGAAACTCACTGTGTATGAACGTGTGGGTAAGAAAGAAAGAGGAGTGGGTGGAAAGGGAGAGAGAGACAGACAGACACTATCCTAGAATAATAATGGCACTAATTAAGAAAAAACATTTCAAATCCTCAAATGTCTGTGTCCAAGTGTAAGATTTTTAGTCCCAGCTCTGGAATAACCAGTTGGCAGACAATGGACAAGTCACTTCTCTGAGTCTGCACCAGGCTTAAGGGCTCAGGTCCAAGAGCAAAGTAGGTCAAGATTTGATTCTTAGCCCTGTATGATCTTGGGCATATTACTTAACCTCTCTGAGCTTCATCTGTACAATGAGTATTTAATGGCAAACCATACGTCATGTGGTAGCTAGTGCAGAAAGAATGTGCAGTATGATGCATGGGATATAATAAATGCTCAATAAATACTAGATGCCAGCATTTTCACCGGCCAAATACTTATCCTTTCTCACTGGCTATTCTGAAGATGAATCAAGGGATTAGGTGAAAAAAAAAAAAAAAACACTTTGTGATATAAATGGCATTTTATAGCTATAAGGTGTTATTATTAAATTATCATTATGATTATTGCTTTCAATGTTATGATGCTGAGCAGGAGATATGGTTTTCACAGAAGTGCTTCTCATAGTCTCTTTGGGTAATGAGTGACTGGATTGAAAAAGCTATCTTCCATGAAAAAAGGGAAAAAAAAATAGCCACATTCTTGCTTTGAAAAGCTGAGCCTCCTAGCTGAAACAGATCAGGTTCATTACTCAATGAGGATTAATTAGCTGTCGGGTATTATTAAACGTTCTCACTCTCAAGATCCACATAGAACTGGAAACTATGAAAGTGAGCGAGAGGTAATCATTAGACAGGGAAGGGGGGAAAAGCTACAAATGCTGGTAATGCAAATTTTGAGAGAGGAGCATGTTAGTAAAATACAGGCTGATTAATATCACGTCAGCTCATTTTCTGTTTGGAGTCACTGTTCTGAATCCCAGGTCTTCAGAGTTGCTTGGGTTTTTTTTTTCTTCTACTACTGGGATCAAAAAGGAAAGGAGGCTGGCCTTTTCAGTGTTTTCATCCAAGAATGCTGCAGGGTGGATGACTACACCGAAACACAGTATATTTGAAAGCCTAGGAAAGTAGATGGGGTGAAATCGAATATGGGTAATTACAATATTATAGCAAATGTGTCTCTCAGGTTGGTACAATAACTATTGAAATGATTGAAAAGTAGCAGAGGCTCATAAAAAATGATAGCTCAGGGATACCTTAAAAGATGATAGAATCCAGTGACCACAGACCTACTATCTTAACTATAGGGGCTTGTGTTAAAGATGTCCATTCCTCAAGATCACTCAATTTGCTAAAGGGAATCACTGGGGCTGGGGCCCAGGGATCTGAATTTGTAACTAGGACCATGGATACAAAAGCACGGACTATGCAGTCCTCTGTGTGGCAGCTTAGAAACTAGCATGGAGAGAAGAAATGTGATTCACTGGCCCAGGGTCACACAACTGGTTAAGAAGAAAGCAAGAATCAGAACTGGGGTTTTCAAACTTCCAGCCACACCTCAAGGCTTCCTTCCATGTCTGGTATGTACAAAATCTACTTCATAACATCACTGTCTCACCGTAGGGAGAATCTCTGCTCTAAAGGAAACATGCACATAGGCCTTCTCTTCATCATGGGGACAACATCTCTGAGTAGCTAACCACAGATGTATGAAGTCCCATAGGATGCCACAGCCAACAGGAATTCATTGTGGGAACTACAGATGGCATCTGAGAAAGTCCATTCACAGAGAAAACAAGGACAAGGTGACATGTGGGCAGAAGTTCATGTCGTGAACCCCCCAGTGGCACCTAAGCCATCTGTGTTCCTTACAGGATTGCAAAGTTCCAAGGGGCTACAGATGGTTCTTACTCCCTTTGGATAGGCAGCAGACTGTCTGCCACTTATTAGACATCAGTGAAGAGTTTGTGGAATGAATACCACCGTATAAAAAGTATATGAAAAGGACAAGAATATACATTTTTTCCTGTCAGTAGGGAGTAGTAACAGCCATGATAATGATAATGATGAAGATAATATTAAACGGCCAGCAGGGAACTAATATTATCGAGTGTTACGTGTGAGTGACATTGCACCGGCTAACATTTCATCACGCACAATAGAGCATGGGGTCCTTGCAAAACTCCTGGGAAGCAGTGAATCCTTGTAATACACATGGGACTTTGGAGGCATAAAGAGTTTGGTTCATATGACCAACGTCCCTGGCTGGAAAGCAATAGAGCCAAACTTCTAATCCAGGGCAGACTGACTCAATGTCCATACTCTTCACTACTCAACCCTCAGGTCTGCAAAACCTCTGAGCATTTAGACCATCAGCCCACTCTGATACAGAGGACTTGCATGGCCATTCTTCAGGCGGAGGAAGCAGGTTGATGAGACGAAGCTGAGAAGCCAATGCTTGTTTGCTCAGAAGAAGCTCAAAGAAAAACTAGGTAACCACAAATACTGGGTAAACACATGATAGCCTAGCACTGTGGCCAGCACTGAGCCTGTGCTCAAAAAGTACCCACTGAATAAAGAGAGGAACAAATGAATTAATGAATTAATGAACAAATAAACAAGCAAGGTAACCAGGCACATGCTGATCCTTCAGTTCCCATATCTGCTTCTCAACCCATGGTGACAACCTCTTTTCCCTACATGTACTGCACTGTCTCTCTGATCTCAGTTTTTGGTCTTTAGTAGGGCAGCTGGTATCTGAAAACACATATTTGAAAGGTTTGAAAGTCCCTTGGGGCTAGGGCTGGTCTCAAGATGTGGATCTGGGAATGCTGTACCATTCACAGTATGCACATCTAAAACCAAACTCACCACCGAGCCCTGAACCACTTTACCTTGTATTTAGAGAGCCTTCCCTTAAAAGTTTGCTCTGAGAAATACATTTCTTAAAAATTTTTATTAAAAAAAATTTTTGTAAGGTTTATTTATTTTTGAGACAGAGAGACAGCATGAGCGGGGGAGGGTCAGAGAGAGAGGGAGACACAGAATCTGAAGCAGGCTCCAGGCTCTGAGCTGTCAGCCCAGAGCCTGATGCAGGGCTTGAACTCATGAACAGTGAGATCATGACCTAAGCCGAAATCAGACGCTCAACCAACTGAGCCACCAAGGCACCCCTATTTATTTTTGAAAGAAGAGAGAGAGAGAGAGAGAGAGAGAGAGAGAGAGAGAGAGAGAGACAGCGAGTGCAAAAGCAGGGGATGGGCAGAGAGAGAGGAAGAGAGAGAATCCCAAGCTAATAGCACAGAGCCTGACAGGAGGCTGGATCCCACAAATTGAGAAATGATGACCTGAGCTGAAATCAAGATTTGGACGCTTAATCGACTGAGCCACCCAGGTGCCTTGAGACATCCATTTTTTAAAAAAAATTGTTTTTAGGTTTATTTATTTATTTTGAAAGAGAGAAAGAGAGAGCAAGCATGAGCAGAGGAAGGGAGACAGAGAAGAGAGAGAGAATCCCAAGCAGGTTCCACACTGTCAACGCAGAGCCTGACATGGGGCTCAATACCACAAACTGTGCAATCATAACCTGGGCCAAAATGAAGAGTCAGATGCTTAACTGCCTGGGCGACTCAGGTGTCCCCAGAAATCCATTTTTAATACCACTTTCCTATGAGACCTTTTCTGATCTCTAGAACCAAATATAATTTCTTTACCCTTTGATCAAACTGTAACTCTCAGACACTAACTGCATTTAACTTACTCTATTTACTGTCATAAGCATTTTTATAGGAGACCTCCAAATCCTTTCCTTACCAGACTGTGACTTTCTGGAGGGCAGAAAGGGAGCTACTCAGACTGATAGCAGAGATCATATACTGACTACCAGCCATGGAAGGAGGGCACATTTTTAGTGAAGTATGAGGTTCACTGTTTAAAGTTTAGTAAGTATGAGGTTCACCGTTTCACAGACAGAGAAACTAAACACAAATTGCATGACTCAAGTTCAAAAGGGTTAGGTGACTACGTGAGATTCTACGGAGTGGCAGAATTCAAACCCAGGCCTATGAGATCCAGAAGTTCACGTTCTGAACGATGAAACCCCAGCTTGCCACATGGGTCATCCCATCCCCTATGCCTTGAGTACAGAAACATTTTATAGAACATGAGCACACAGAGACTAAGCATATAGTAACTCATGGCAGTGGCCACGTGGGCGAGTCCTAGGGGGTTAAAAGAAATGCATGAATCTGTAGTCATCAGAGCCTGGCCCCTGTCTTGCCCCCCACCCCCCCATCTGCCACCAGACACTCAGACAGGTCGAGCTCCCATTTCACCTCCTTTACTCACATGTTATAGTTGCAACCAACCTCTAGCAGCAACCCACATGCGGCTGAACCCAGGAACCCTTCCCCTGAGCCTGGTGGCCAAGAGAAGTGATAGGCAGTGGCCAAAGCTGCCGCTGGGCTCACCCGCAAGGTTGTGATGGTGGCAGGATCCCGGAGCCGGCCCTCCTCATCTTTCAGGTTGTAACCTTCTGGCCTCTTATCACGCTCGCTGACTTTCCACAGCTTCACAGTTTTATCTGTGGAGGGCAACCAGAGCAAATAAAAATTACAGTGAAAATGAGCTTGAAAAGGAGTCTTCTATGTGGATGGTGGGGGGCGGGGGTTGGGGAGCAGGGAGAGGTGGAGGTAAGGATGGAAGGAAATGCTACAGAAGCTGGTTCATATCAAGGGTTCTGAGCATAAATCTCACATCATTGGAAGGCAGAGCTCATGTTTCAAATCAAAAGTATACACTGTGCTGAGACCAATGGTTTTCCTGACGATGGCCTATGAAATTTAGAGCTTACCTGTTATTTTGGTTCATTCAGTAAAAATATTTATTGAACACTGAATCAGAGCAGCTACATATACAGAATTAGCTATGTAACTATGTTATCAGCATTTGCTATGGAAAATGTATTTAATATTCACAATAACGCTGAGAGGTAGATATTCCCATTTCAGTCCCATCCCACCAAGCACTTTCTTACCATGACCTGAAAGGCCCTCCGCGAGCCACGCCTGGAGTTCCTCATTCTTTCTGGTCTTACCCTGTGAGCCCCAGTCACCCTGCGCTCCAGCCATATGGCTTCTTTATAGCTCCCTGTTCACATTATCCCCACTCCAGCCTTAGGCTTCCCACGAGCTGTGCCTTTAGCCAGGAAGCCTTCTACCTCCTCGTCACGTGACTTGTTCCTTCACTTGGCTCTATTTGTGTCCCACGCTCAGAGGGGCCTTTCTGAATCAACCTGCATCAAAATGTCCCCACCATTCTCATGCTGCTCTCCCTGCTTTATGTTTCCTCCTAGAACGTTTCGCTATCTGACAACATTTTTGTTATGCCTCCCTGACTATAACATAAAATCCCTGGAGGCAGGGATTCTGTCTTTTTCATCACTACACATCCAGCACCTGTAACAGTGCCTGGGACACAGAAGATGTTCAACAAATATTAGTTGGGTGAAAGAATGAACCCCATATCTACACAGTGCATCTTGCTAGCAATACTCAGAGATAGAAAATGGTAGGATCATTCATCAAAATGCTCCTCTCCCATTGCAGTCTCCAGGCTTGGAATCCCCAGCTGGAAACGACCTTTTGCAACTGTGTTCTGTTCCAGCACTTTACAGTACTTGCTGATACCTGTAATTCTCCACTGATAAAACAGGGCAAGATCTCCAATGTCTACAGGGGTGAGGTGGGCCAGGGGAATGAGTGAGAGGGGCTGAGGGCTTGGAAGGCAGGAGATGGTGAGCTCCATCTGCAGCCTTTCGATCTGTTTCCTAAGAAGATGTGTTTGGGCCAAACAGACCGTATGTGTGGGTCACGTGCCCTTTGCAGGCTTTCCTGAACAGGTCCTGCATTCATTATTTGTGCTTGCTCTAGCTTTTCTTGTGCAGGGCAGGGACTCAAAAGCCTTCTCTGTATCTTCCTCTGCCTGCACAGGGTTGGCTTTGGAACTAGACAAGCTTGGGCCTCACCCCAACTCCAGCCAGCCGCGTGGCCAAGGGCCAGGATTCCTGCGTAGTAGGTGCCCAGTATCTCTTCAGTGAGAAACAAATGGGCGCAATAGTTTTTTCAGGAAAAAGAGTACAGAATGCCTAATTAAATCTGAACTTCAGATGAAGAGCAAACGACTTTTTAGTATGTCTCAAATATTTCAACCTTACAAATAAAGACACTTAACTTCTCTATGCCTTAGTTTCTTAAATTGTGATTTGGAGAAACAGTGTCTTCCTCATGGGGCTCTTAGAAGGACTGAATGAAACCCAGTGTTTAACGTAGGGTTGGGGTGTCTAATAATGGTTGACAAATAGCAGCTGTTACTCGAATTCGCAAAGTGGCCAACTGTTCTTTGACGACAACCTGTTGCTCTGACAGCATTAGCTTCATCCCGTGATGATGTCAGCACACCCTGTTTCTTCCATAATACTGTTGGAAGAAGAGCCACACCTCACCCAGCCTGTCCCAGGGTTCCCTTTCTCCTTTGCCCCCTCATCTCACTTCCCCATGTCTCCCCACCAAATGCCTCGTCCGCAGAGGTTTGACATGCATCCCATCCTGAGGTAGGCTTTCAGCAACAATTTGGCTACTTTAACAGGTAAGTGCCCCTGTCTCCTGTTCTCTGGGGAGGACTCAGGCTGGTCACGTCTACTGGCACACGTGGCATGGCGGCCAAGTGTAAGATTGGTGTGCTCTGAACTGTATGCCCCCTCTGGCTTGTACTGGGACGGAAGGCAAGGAAGCCTTTCCTAGATACTGAGTTGAATTCAGATCGTCCTATCTGTATGCCAACGTTCCTCTGGGCCTCCCTTCTCTGGATATCCTGCTATAATACTGCACTGCATGTTAGGGTCAGAAACTGAAACAGAGGCCATATTTATACAGTCACTTGATTAGTGACTGGTCAGCTGTGACTCAGAACAACACAGACCAGTGACTTTTAACACCAAATACTTTCTACTGCTTGGCTTTGGAATATATCCCGTCCCGTTTGCAAGGCAATTCTTCTGTTTTTCTTATTACGAATGACACATTGCTACACGGAGAAATCATAGGTAAAACACAAAAAGCAAGAATCAACTATACCTCCTCCAGTCAGGGACAATATCTGTTTTGCACAGATATTTGCAGTATTTTTTTTCTATGCATTTTTGGGGGATGGGTACGAACCTATTGTAAGACTGCATGTACTGGTTTTGTATTCTCTCATTTTATCCTTCTTTCATTATACATGTGGTAAATATAATTGCAAAAAATGAAAATAAGCTGGAAAGTAAAAAAATAAAATAAAATCTCCCTCAATTCCACTAGACAAAGATAACTATTAGGGAAATTTTGTGCACATCCTTTTGTTACATTTGATGTGTAATTATACAACCTTTTCATATATGTAACATGCTATGCATAGTTTATAATATGCCTTTTCCTAACCATATCTACCCATATTAACATATATTCCTATAAAAATATAATTTATAATAGTAAGAATTTGTTAACAATTAAAGTTCTACTATTGGGAGATTTATCAGTAAATTAGAAAAATGATACAAGAAAATGCCATGCAGTCGTTGAAAATGCAGTGGTATTTTAGAAGAACATTTAACAACTAGGAAGATATTTCTGTGGTTAAGTGTTATATTATTAAGGAAAAACATCTTGTTTCAGAACAGCTTATAGAATAATCACATTTTCATTAAGAAGCAAAAAGATTTATCCATTTATCCACATCTCTGCTTTTTATCGTTAAAAGACATTAATAGCAGTTCTCTCTTGGTGTAAACACTTTAGTATCTTCATTTTGCTTCTCAGTATTTTCTAAAAAATTTTTCTTTTTTTACAATGAGCACATACTTCTTTCATAGCATGCAAAAACAAATCAATTATACCTTTCCCTCTCATCATAAGTATTAAAACAGAAGTAGAAAGCTAGATAAAGCAAGGTGTTTTCACCAGGCAAATATTTTCAAAGTCTAGATTGAAAATTGAGCGTTGGTTTTACTTTTCATTAAAAATGGTAAAGTTGACAAAATATGCTTGTAGAATGTAAAACTGTACCCAACTATAATGAGATAAGTACAATTTTTTTAAAAAGATAATTGATGCTGAATTCAATCCAATTCCCTATGGCTGGGTTGCCTGGAGTCATTCTCGACTTTATTATCACACAATTTTTCTTGACTCAGTATCTCGAAGCTTTGTGGATAAAAAAAGTCGAAGGAACATGTGGCTGTTACTGTGAGTAATGACTTTTCTTTTTTCTGGCTGGCTCTCTGAGTAGTTTATCATTACTTGTGGCAGCTTTTAAACACAATCTTATCATCTATCTTCATTTTCTCTTTTGTACAGTAATTCCAATTGTCTTTCATTAATTTTTGCATGTTAACCTATTTGGCTTGAGGGGAATTCTCAACCTCAATATTAGTATAAAAAAGAAAATTGTGAAAGAACATGGGAATTTTTCTTCTAAGAATCATTTTGAGATGCTTTTGGCATATGAAATAGCATCCCAAATGGGAAGATAATATCCTTGTTAATCAAAAAACTATTTAAAAACTCAATTAACAGAACATTATGCTATATAATTAATCTTCATTGCATATCAACGATTTCCTTCCCATCCCCCCCCACAAAGCAGTTAATAAGTCTTTGAATTTTATAGTAATAATCAATAGGGTCAGTTTCATAATATCAAGTAAGCTAGCCATAGAAGATAATCAGACACTTTTCCTCTGCCTGAAATAATTAAGTCAAAATCATCAGAAGTCTCTTTTATTCTCAAGTGTTGGGTATGCAGAGCCTTTGAGTAAAATTTCAACAGCAAAACAAAACAAGGAGGAGAAGAAGGAGAAGGAGGAGTAGAAAGAAGAAGAGGAAGAGGAAGAAGTATTCATGTGGTCTGACTTTCAAGAAATCAGGGTTGAAAAAAGTAAACCCAACAATACATACAGTTCTGAGAAAAAATTAAATGACTTAGAATCTGAGATAAGCTATCCTTGAATAAGCCTACAGTGGCTGTTTCAGAAGTGCCATGTTTTAAATTTCTACACTGGGTTTATAACCAAAGGATTTTTGGTTCACATGTGTTAAAAGGATACAAGGAACAAATTTACAAGACACTCAAAATGCACAATCCAAAATTAATCATGATAAAGCTTTCTGTGTGTTTCCTTTCAGTCTTTATAAATGTTTTTTTTTTGTTTGTTTGTTTTTTTTAAATTTTTTTTTTCAACGTTTATTTATTTTTGGGACAGGGAGAGACAGAGCATGAACGGGGGAGGGTCAGAGAGAGAGGGAGACACAGAATCGGAAACAGGCTCCAGGCTCTGAGCCATCAGCCCAGAGCCTGACGCGGGGCTCGAACTCACGGACCGCGAGATCGTGACCTGGCTGAAGTCGGACGCTTAACCGACTGCGCCACCCAGGCGCCCCTATAAATGTTAATATATGTTTGATCATATTATATACCTATGAGCATTACCCTGTAAGTGTTGGGGATAGACAAAAAGCAAACCCCTTGCTTCCTGATTTACATTTACACGTATAGCCCTTGTAGACAGACTCACACAGATGAAATGAATCACTTCCCAGCTTATTTGATTGGTAGGGGGTTTTCAATTTTTATACACTAATCCTCTTAATTTTTATGCTATTCAATTAGTTCCCTTTACCATATGATTTTATTCTGAATTGTTCTGAGAATGGATGGCTTCTTTCAGAAGGGTATTATGAGCCTTTAGGGCAGGTAATTTCACTGTATAAAGGTTTACCAAATTCACATGAAATTTGTCTCTCTATTCAACCCCCACGTCCTTTCTCTCTGACCTACTGATATTAACTCCCCCTAAAATAATAAATGATATAAGAAGAGAATGGGGGAAGAAAGAGAAAGAAGCCACTTCTTGGTCTATACTTTGGAAGGGTCCACCCCTCTTCTTCTTGACCAAGAATTTGATGGTGTAAGAAGACACAAACATCTCCTTTATAAACCCCACATACATTCAGGGATTAATAATTTCTAATCAGTATGCCAAACGCATAGGGATGGCATGTTGAGTTTTCCGAAATGTGTTCCCAGAAAAACACTTAGTGAATCTTAAGAAAGGAAGTCAGATTCTAAACAGACCTAAAACTAATCTCTACTAACCAAAAGCTGGAGATCATAGGTCTCACCTAATTCGGTTATAAATTTGTTGTTTTTAAAAAGAATACCTGCTATGTACTGAGGGCTTACTCTATGCCAGGCACTCTGGTAGGCACCTTGCAAATATTGTTTCTAAGTTGTTCAAATAGCTTAAAAGGTAAAAGAAAAACTGAACCCAGGAAAGATTGAAATATGTGGTTTGCTGACTGCATCTCTGCAAATACCAAACAAGCAAAGTCACCTCCACATACCATTAGTAGACAGAAGGAAGTAGGCTGCGTTCTGCTGAGGGAGCCATCTTATTTTATTGATTTTTTCTTCTATTTCTAAACTCTTCAGGTAATCGAACTCGGGTTCATGGCTCTGGAATGTGCTGTAAACATTGTATTCACCCCTACGATGAACCTGATTTTTACTCTGTAGGAAGGGAAAAAGAACAGACACACACACACAACACACACAAAAGATGAAATCACATAAGCCAACTGCAAATTTGCCAAGTGCTTCTTTTTCTGGGCAGAGACATGGGTAGGGATGGGCCGGTCATGTCACTGTAGAATGAGGGCAGACCCATGGCAACAAGTTTACCTTAGCTGAGTGACCTCCACAGCATTTGATCATGTACCCCTATTGGTGAATATTGGCACCTCCTATATACATACATTTATAAATTATATACATGAACTTCGGTACTAATATATGGTATACATAACATATACGTAAAAATTGATGTTAAAATAGGACACAATTCAAAAATACATATAAATAGATATTCTAATATTTTTTTTTTACATCTTAATGGATGTCTTGGACACGCTCAGGACTGATCTATCCCACACTGATGTCCACAGTGACATACATCAGTCCCTCACAAAGACTATAAAACCATGGCATCTGCACGTGTTGCTGGCCATTTAAAATCTCACCAGAACCTCACAGAGTCTCTGAGAAGTAGGGAGGGTGGGGAAATGGACAGAAAAAGTTGAGAGGTAGTAAAATGACCTCTCCGGGTCACACAGCTTATACACAGCAGATCTGGGCATCAGATCTCCCCCACCCCTTTTTTCCCCCCCCTCGTGTAATTGACAAAACACACTTGAGTGCAGAGATGCCACATGAACCCTTAGGAAATTTATCAGGCTCTATTTGCAGCTTTCACCCCTCCCGATTATGCACAGTGCAAACAGGAGGAACTAGGTAAAGAATGCGGTAACGAAAATTAGAGAAGAGAATCTGCAGAAGGGGTTGGGGCAGAAGAAGTGTGGAGAGGAGGAAAAAGAGGGTGTTAAAGAAAGAGAAGAAGGGGAAAAAGAAAAGACAGGTTTTATTTCAGGGGTTTTAGGACCTTATTACCAGGAGCTTCCAGATTCAGGCTTTGGAAAACCACGCTTGCAAATTCAAATTCAGGCCTTATTGAACATGTGTTGTAAGAGTCTGACTCTGAGGATTAAGACTCCATTAAAAAAATTATATTTCTGGATGGATATTGACCATTCAAACCAAAATCTCCACTTACTCCATCTGATGGGTGATGGTGCTGATGCCGTGTTCGATGTATTTGCGGGGCACTGAGGTTCCTACGAGCAAATTTGCCAGGAACGTGACTTGTGAGAAGTCATGCACAGAGGTCGGGCCCGGGGCGGGGGTGGGGGGGGTGGGGGGGGGTGCAGCGGGCCTGTTGTCACCTGGCTTTGTTTCTCAGGCTTAGCGTTCATCCCAACCACAAAGCCACTGAACGGTATGTTTCTCTCCTCGACATTTATTTTTTTATTGAACAAAACCACTCTCCTTTGGAAAATGTGTCCCCCTTCATTCTACCAATGAATCATGCTTCCTAAATGTTTCAGTCCATTAAAATAGGTGAAACCTATAAATAGCTAACGGAAATCGTGGTGCGGAATATTCTTGGCAACACTCTGCCTTGGGTAATTTATGCTAAATGGCTGCTCCGGTTCTTCTTTATCATCACTATGAACCTAATTGGATTTTTTTTTTTAAACTGAAGGTCTTAAAAATCAGTTTTAAAAGGACTTTAAATGCTGATATCCTGCTTACTACAGAGACAGCCAGTCCACCTTAACAATAAATTTATAAGAGTGTTGATTTGCTACCATCCAAATCAGACTGTCAAGTGTGTGTATCATGTGCCAGACCAATTAGCACTAGGCAGTTCTGGAAAAGCAGGAAAAATTCCAGGTCACGAAGAGCTATTAGTTTCCACTTGCCAACCACATTTTCGTTGTTTCCAGGGCCAATGGAATAGGCTGGGTGCCTGATTTAATGCTGAACACTTGAATTTATACAGAACCCCGAGGGATTATGATGCCCTTATAGAAATTAATTGCAAATAATGTGCAATTACCAAATATATCACCTCTAAATGAGGCTTTCCTTTTTTTTGGGGGGGGGAGGTGTAACATAAATGGCTTTGAGGCACAGAGGAGGTTTAAATTGCTAGGGAAGTCTCTTGTGGAACCTTCCTCCCGCACTGGGCCTCCCCCCTACTCTGTGCTGGTGATTCTCTGAGGCGGGAACAGATGGGAGAGGTCCTAGAACAGGCACCGGCCTGCTGGAAGCTCCAGGACCATGCCAGGGAGACCCAGGAAATCAGATTGGGACATAATTTCATTCTGGCAAAACAGAAGCGGACACCAAAAAACTCAATTATATGAAAAAGAGAAACAATTCCTACTGGAGTTCAAGTCTCAGGAGGAAATGGGATTTTTGAGATTCAATGCACTCCAAGTTCGATCTCCTGCTCAGAATGCATGCAGCACTGAGCTCCAGGGACCTCTGCATCACCTATAGAAAAACATATGCCACGGGCATTGCTCAGATGTCATTTTGTGGGATTTCACTCCCTTTGGTAGGGTGAGCTATCACTGTCTTCTCTACTGACCCACGGTGTCCTTTTTACATCTACTGGCAAAGAGCTGGATTTTTTTTCCCTTCCTACATATTGGGCAGGAGCACCTGAAATTAGGAGAATTAATTGCAATGGCTGGGGGATAAATTCCACTCAAAAAGGAGTTCTCTGTTCAACAAGCACCCATGGAATTTTGCAGGTCAGATGGGAAGTGAGGTCGTTTTGAATGTGCAACACCCAGGTTTGGAAACATTAGGCCATGCCCAGGAAAGGCTCTATTATCAGGTGCTTTTATGAGCCTGAATGTGGAACTGTTGATGTTAATGACTTTTTGGCAGTTTTTAGTTTGCTAGCAAAGCAGCAAGGTTAAGGGCGACACATGAGGATTAAGGAACAGTAGGAGGCCTCCTTTAAAAAGAGAAGAAAATGGGCATTTTGCATTCACTGCCACTTACCTCCTGCTCTCGTTGAAATATTACAACCCGACCCCCCTTGTCCCCTGTCGCTAGTAATTCTCCCGTGTGGTTGAATTCTACCGTAGAGATAATGTCAGCTGAAAAGGAGAAGACAAAGGCAATTAAAGTAACTGCACACTTACTTTGAAACGATAGATAATAGATATACTTTTCTGTGCATTTAAGGACTCAGGGCTTTGTCTCTGCAGTGGAATTTACAAGGATTTTATGTTCTGTATTTTAAGTGCCACTAGAAGTGGCATTTGAGAAAGTAAATTTTCTAGGAGACCACTGCAGTGTGGTCTCTTGGAACGTCTGGAGAGAACAAAAGGGAAAAGCACAAACAGACCTTTTTGTTTGGGGCAAGAGAAAATGCATTTCCTTAATAATGGCTCCTGGAAATGACATTTTTTTTTTTTT